GCCTCTGGTAACCATACCGCTTCCTCCTCGAAGGGTTATTGTCCATCACTCGGATAGTACCTATCGCGCATGCTATAAGCAGAAGCGAAAGCGAAAGCGCTACATTCTTAACCGGCGCCATCATAGGCGTCCTGCCTTCAGTGAGTGAGATCTTCAGAAGTGGCTCCTTTTTCTTGTGTTCTTTTGTCGGTCTTGTCTGTTGTTTAAGCCTCCCCAGGAACAAATCCTGCAAATGGGAAGGCTCATGTTCCAGTTAGTTCCTTGCTGATATCTGGCTTAATTTTCCGCGACAGTACCCATGCTATTTTTCCCATCTCGCAATGTTTTACTGCTGCATAGCCTCTTCCCCATACCAGGATCATCCAGCCCGCCTCCCATACCCCGTTATCTGTTTTCATCTTGACTGGAGGTCCCTCACTTAAGATCTTGGGTTGCCAATGTTTCTGTACAGGGCTTCGGCTGCAATCTCCGCGTTCAAAATGATTCAATGCATAGAGGGCTTTTGCTAAGATCTCTGCCTGTCTACCGACAGGGATTCTGTCCCTATATCCCTCCCCCTCCCCAAGGACGTGTATCTTGTCCTTGAGGAGGCGGTTAGCACATTCTACAATCGCTTGCCCTTGAGAGTTACCAGGGATACCTGTGGTGTGAGAAATTCCCCACAACGTCATCCATTCTTGGGTCGAGCGTGAGGTGAAGCATGATCCGTTATCGGTTTTAATCTGGCTAGGTAAACCCAATACAGCAATTAACGTACCCCAATGGGATTGCGCTGCTGTCGAATTAGACTTAGCATGCTGGGTAGCAATGATGACAGTGGAGGAGGTGTCTATCGTGACGGCAAGCCAAGACTGGGGGGACAAGCGGGGTTCCCAAGTGAAATCCGTTTGCCAGATCTGCAATGGCCCGAGGCCACGGGGATTAACTCCAGCCCCTATTGCAGGTGCAGAGTTGCAGTGCGGACAGGCCTGAACAACATCTCGTGCAACAAAGGTATAGAACAGGTCCTGGCTAGAGCACGTGCGCCTATGTGAAGGGTGGAGTGAAGGTCGCAGGCCTCTCGTACTGGAAAGACGAGCGTACCAGCGGCTTTGTCCGCTACTGCATTCCCTGTTGTAAAGAAACCTGGCACTTCTGAATGGCTGCGGACATGCAAAATAGCTACGGGGGCTGAGCGACAGGCCAAGGCTTCTTCCAAAAGGCCAGCGGCCTTATTGCTCGGATGCCCTTCTTGGCTCATACGGGCAAGCAATCTGGCTGCAAAAGCAGAATCAGTGACGATGTTACAGGGGATCTCTTGCCACAAGCGTACTGCTACTGCCACAGCCATTACTTCAAGCATCTGCACACTGACCGTCCGATCGGAAAAAACGACAGTCTCCCAATTGTTACCTGAACCCTGCCAAACCACCGCCCTTGGCCGGTGGACGAGGATGCATCTGTGAACAAGGTAGGCCCCTCAAGCGGGGAGGTTTGGACATGGGATCGAAGGGAGATATGGATGGGTTTGGCCAAGTCAAAAATGGGTAACGAGTCTGAATATACAATTGTTCCCCCGAAGCCCTGCAGTACCGTAAGAAGGGCATCAGGGAGTGGCTGTACGTCACGAAATGAGCTCTGCAAGTATATTATATCGGGCTCTTTTGCCGGGGCATGCAATGACAGCAATCGAGACTTCCTAAGCAACATCGCTAGGACCTCGAGCCAGGAAGGGTAGGCCCGCGTGGGTTGCACAGAAAACAACCACCATAAGGGTTGCGGCTTGGAGTCGAGGGCATGTCCCAAGATCGCAGCTGCACCAGCCTCACATCTAGTTACCGCTACTTCAAGATCTTGAACAGGGTCCCACCGTGCCAACGACCCTCTCATACAACTTTGTAAGATCTCATGCCACACGGCAGCCATCTCATGGGTGAGTTCTCGAGGTTCTCTTGGATCTGCTCCCTTCAATTGATCATAGAAGGGTTTCATGAGTTGGGGTGGAATTCCCAGGGCTCCTCAAACCCATTGAATTGCCCCTACAAGCTTTTGCACATCCCACAGGTTGGTAACGCGAGGTCGTATATCAAGTCCTGTTGGCCGAACCATTTCTGGGCCAAACTTATATCCGAGGTATTCAACCCTGGGGCCCCTCTGCATTTTTTGCTCAGAGATAACAAATCCGGCAGTGGTCAACATTTCTACCAGCCGGGCTTCAAGCATATGTAGCTCCAAGTAAGAGGGGGCAGCAAGCAACAGATCGTCCATATAATGTGTAATCGTATACTGGGGGAAGTCCCTCCGGACTACCTCCAGAACTTTTCCCACTACCAATTGGCAAATCGTAGAAGAGCACATCATTCCCTGGAGGAGGACGCGCCACTGAAACCTCTCCGCAGGCCCTTCATTGTTGGTCATCGGAACTGTAAATGCAAATGCTTCTCTGTCTTCTTCTGCAAGGGGAATAGAGAAAAAACAGTCTTTAAGGTCAATGACCACCATTGGCCAACCTTTTGGAATGGCCGACAAAACAGGTCCTCCTTGTTGGACTGAACCAAAAGGCACAAGCTGAGCGTTAACAGCACGCAGATCATGAAGTAAGCGAAAGGCACCTGAATGTTTTTTACTGACAAAGATCGGGGTGTTCCATTGGCTAAGTGAGGGCTCAATATGCCCTAACTGGAGTTCCCAAGTAACTAGTTGTCTAAGCGCTGCAAGTTTCTCATCTGAAAGGGGCCACTGATCTACCCAAACAGGACGTGCGTCCTGTTTCCAGTGCAGTGGGATGGCATAAGAAGCAGATAGCTGGCAGACAGTGGCCCTTACCATAAATTTGTAATGCGTGCCCCTAGTCCACTTAAGAAATCCCTACCTAGAAGGGTCCCTGGTACCCTAGCGGTCAGTGGGACAAGTAAAACAGGCTTTTCCAATGTACCGTCCCGGTTCACCACTATAATTTCAACCTCTCCCCTTGATTTCCCAGTGGGAAGGGTGCCTCCAACCCCCTTGATTATCTGGGACGATCCCACTGGCCACCCAACGGGCCAATCCTTATCCGAAATCACTGTAACATCCGCCCCCGAATCAATAAGAGCCGTGATCTGGACAGATTGTGGACCCGTGTAATCCGGAGCCAGGTCACTGGCATAAGAAACGAAGATTTTAATGAAAGGGCGGTCCTTACAGTCGAGCGTTAGTGCCACGGTGGCCGGTTGATGAACTTGAAGGGTGGAGCCGGCACAACCGGTAGGTTGGCTGTAAGCAGAGCCATTGGCCCATATTGTGGGTTGTAGGAGGGGCCCTGGGCCTGAGGCACCCTCCCTTTCCTGTTTCCCTGATTCTGGTGGTAACCTCCTTGGGCTTTGTGGCTTCTACACTGGCGTGCAGTGTGGCCGCTCTTGCTGCACAATTGACAAACAACTCTCCGGCCATTGCCTCGCTCGTTACCACTATTCCCTCCACCCCTACACTGGGCTTTAATGTGGCCATATTGGCCACAACCAAAACAGGGTCCCTTGGCTTGCGATGCTGCAGGCGCTATTGCCGTTGTTACGACAGGGAGGGCGCTTACTATGCCTTCCTGTATTACAGCAGCAAGTCCCTCTGTCATGGGGGTTGCCTTTTGCTTTTCCAGCACATACTTAAGCTGAACATAGCAGCTTCTTAATATCGTCATGGGATTTTTGTCTTAGACAATCCATAATGACAGGATTGTGAACTGCTCTAGGTAAGTCCGACCCCTCCACCGCCCATATCAGCCTGTCGGCAAATTCTTGGAAGGATTTGGCTAGACCCTGAGTGATATCTGTCCAAGGGGTAAGGGGCTCAGCACTATGTGCAAGCCTTTTGAATGCATCAAGCATTGCGTCTGTAGTTGCCATCAGCTCTCTGGGCCGTAACCTGGCTATCTGTGCATGGGGGCTGGCCATTTCCCCGGCTGTGCCCGTGAGTCTTTGCACGTCTGTGCCATGCGCGGGGTGTGTCGCATCCTCCTCAGCTATCACTGCCACCTTCCTACATTCCGACATCCACTCCCCTTTCCAGAGCGTGTACTGCACTGGTTTGAGCACCATGAGCATAAGATTCACGATATCATGGGGAAGTAAAGGTCCAGGCCCTGTCAAGGCCTCCAGGGCATTCAAGGTCAGTGGCGACCTCAGCCCTTTCTTTTCCACCGCCTCTATAAGGCGTGTGACTCCTTTTGAATCGAGTGGCACCCACACAGGCCCTTCATCTCCCACTACCACTGGGTACACCTCCACCGGTAAAGCCTTTGCCCTCTATATCTTCTCTAATCTTTGACCAATCCGTAACCAGGCCACGACCGCCCTTAACCCCCTCTGGAGCAGTGGGTGTATCTCGCAACAAGGGATACAGCGGTTGCTGAGGTAACGCAACCGGATATGGAGGTGGAGCCTCCTGTTGCGTGCCGGAATGGGAAGAGGGGGCTGCTGATGACCCCCCTTCCCGCTGTTTTTCAAACCCAGCAGGTGCGGGCGGCACCGATCGACCGCCCTCTTGCCATCCATCCAGCTCATCAGAGGGGGGTGCGGAAGGTACGGTCGGCTGTACTCCCATCTCCTTTGTGTAGCTGCTAATGACACCCCCCCCCGCATCCTCGTGATTAGGAGCCCGCTGAAACCTGCTCAGGTCCTCAGCCGTGTCAGACCCCATCCCAAGCAGTAAACGCGCCACACCAGTAGCGTTCTCCTCCCTGGCCGCCCTGAGAGCACCCAAAAGTAAGCCCCAAGTTTTAAGCTCAGCGCCCTTTTGAGCGCGAGCACCGTGGTGAGAGAATCCCACTGCTGATGATTGAGAACATCATAGGGGGAGCGTATCTCCCCCTCCCACTCCAGGCGGGAAAGGATGGCAGCTATCTCCTTCTTAGAAGGAGGGTGCTTGCCACAATATTCTTTGCAAAGTTGCAAAAGTACCTTAATAACAGATTCCATGATCAGCGCCCCACCATCCCCTCAGGTTTCCGCGCTGTAAAGAAAAGCCGCACCGTCATCCCCAGGGTATTCTGCGGTCTAAGAGGCGCCCCGCCGTCCCCTCGGGTTTCCGTGCCGAAGCTATTTTGAGCCGGCCAGCATAGGAACGTTCCTCACACGGGGCACCACTTGTTTCCGCGTAGGAAACCCCTAATTCCTCACATTCCTATGGCCCGGCCAGGGTTCACGCCGTCCCCGCTGTGACCCGACCATCTCACTACTTGCACACCAATGTGATGTTAGGCAGGATAGTGTTTATTGCAAGCGAAACAGCAACTTATATACTTTACATGCTTATCTATGTTACTACATCCACATGCGTTTACTCATGTCTAGTACGTCTACGCCTCCAAGCGTGCATCATGTCTCTTATCACAGAGCAGGGGAGGTCCTATCGTGTCACAGCCCAATACCCCGCAAACGCCTACTGCAACAGGCCAAAGATCATGGCATTGAGTGGATTTATCATATTCCCTATCATGCACCAGCTTCTGGTAAAATTGAATGCTACAATGGGTTGTTAAAAACCATGTTGAAAGCAATGGGTGGCGTAACATTTAAGCACTGGAAGAAGTCCTGCAAGCTACCTACATACTTTCAAGGGAGATAAGATCCCTGTAGTACATGTAAAGAACATGTTGGGAAAAGTGGTTTGGGTCTTTCCAGCTTCTAGGAAGGGCAAACCTCTTCGTGCAACTGTTTTTGCCCAGGGACCTGGGTCCACTTGGTGGGTGATGCAGAGGAACGGGGATGTTCAATGTGTACCACAAGGGAATTTGATGTTGGGGGAGTGCACTCTCTCAGTGGTTAGTGTTATGTGCTTACCATGGTGGAGGCAACCACTGCGTTCCTTGAAGCATATGCAGTACCCCATGCTACCGCCTGAAACACCATATTAGGTCTCGAGAAACAAGTCCTGTGGCGACATGGCATCCCAGAAAGAATTGAGTCAGATAATGGGACTCATTTCAAAAATTCTCTTGTAAATACTTGGGCCAAAGATCATGGCATTGAGTGGATTTATCATATCCCCTATCATACACCAGCTTCAGGTAAAATAGAACAATACAATGGGTTGTTAAAAACAATGCCGAAAGCAATGGGTGGTGGAACATTTAAGCACTGGGAGAAGCATTTTGGCAGAAGCCACCTGGTTGGTCAGTACTAGAGGATCTATCAATCGTGATGGTCCTACCCAATCCAGCTCCCTACCTACCATAGAGGGAGATAAAGTCCTTGTTGTATATGTAAAGAGCATGTTGGGAAAAGCAGTTTGGGTTCTTCCAGCTTCTGGAAAGGGCAAACCTCTCCGTGGTACTGTTTTTGCCCAGGGACTAGGGTCCACTTGGTGGGTAATGCAGAAAAATGGGAATGTTCAATGCGTACCACAAGGAAACTTGATGCTGTGAGAGTGCACTCAGTAGTTTTATGTATATAGACATGTGCGTGTAATGCATTTTAAACATTGTTTGTTTGAATATATGTATACATATTAAGCATGATGTGGAGAAGTAAAATAAGAAGTAGAATGTCATGGTATTATGTTTTTCATTTTCAGTATTCTGCATCATAACATCATGATGTTAGCACAAGGAGTTGAAGTGTTAATACTCCAATTCCAGGTACCTATCCCTATACATTACAGAAGACATGGGATCTGGCCCTTCCAGGTCGAGTGCTCTCTTACTGCCTGGCAGTGGGTGCTTTCCTAACTGTTCCAAGCTTTTTAGGTTTGACTTGGACTCAGGAACTCTCACCCTTCTATCTTATTTTATTTACCAGTCTCAATTTCAACTAGATTGTATTATGGTATGTTATCTTGCATTCCAATATCACAGTTAGAAAAATATGTTTTCCTCCATGCATTGTTGCCGCTTTTATTTTGGGTTACATTGAACCTTTCCTTGAGCCTAGCTCCCACCTCCCTATCCCTGTTCCCTTCCATTTTTGTGGGGCTGGGGCCTACTGCCCCTCTGTCATGGGCACAGATTGATCTAGTTAACGCAGTGACATGAACTTATCTGTACACCAGGTGCTTGCAGGGATAGGATATTCTCCCTCCAGAACAGGACTCTTCTCTGGTGGAGTGACCAATATTCCTTATGGTGCATCACTGTGACAAGACACTGGGCCTAGGATCTTCTCAAGTTCTTCTTTCAAGGGTGATAAAGACAGACTACCTCTTTGGCTGAGGAAGGCGACCCATCGTGCCACTGTTTGTGCTTGAGCCACCCCTGCCTTAGGAAGGTGGGTCAGATCCTTCACCCACCCCTGAATCAGCAGAGTGGTCTTAACTATAACTTCAGCCATTAGTGTTATTGGCTCGACTGCCTGTAATGCTGAATAGGCAGCGAATAACTGTTTTTCCATCATAATGCATCTTTCTTCTGTTCCATGCCAGACCTGAGACCAGAATCCAATGGGGGTCCAAACAGAACTCTAGCGTTGCAACAGGCCCCAACCAAAGCCATCTTGAGTAACGTGAACGTCTGTATGGGAACTGCTGAGTCAAGGCCTGAACCTCTGATTAGTCACCTGAGGCGAGCAATGAGTCAGTCCAGGGAGCACAGGTGAAAGCAATTCACCTGTGCTGCAGGAAGGGGTGGAGCCTGG